CAAGAAAAATCCTTATATTTTCATTAAAATGAAAGTAGGTCTTTTACCCAAGACCCCACGTTGGGTGTGTTTCGTTTCTTGCACCTGGTTTGTTTGGTGTAAAAGTTTATGTTTGTACTTGTAAGCCAAATTGTTTAGTTAATACTTAATGTGAACGAGGTTATAACCATACTTAATTGACTAGTATAAAACACGACGTTCTCCAGGCGTCGAAAAAGAAATGACATTTGTCACCGTAGACCCTGCCGGTCCCCAAAGGGGTCCCAACTGTAGTAGCAGTAAGGTTTGATATTTTAGTCCGTATAGATCTATACACAACCTCCGCTTCTCCCTCCAGGAGACTCTGGTATAAAACATGACTTAGCATGAATGTTGCTAAGTCCCATGAAGTCAAAGTAGTATATCACATTCTAGTTAAATTGTTTCGTATAGTATGTATATGTTTCTGGTTCTTGTAAATGAATATGTACTTTGTAATGAAAAGTAATAGTATGTTGTATTGATCCTGTATTGTTTCCCTGAACTAGAAAGTAGTATGAATTTGATTCTCTAAATTTATACCTATTATAGTTACTAGTATGTTTGTTGTGAACTGTAAATGATTTGGAGAAAAGACTCATTTGCCCAAGCATATGCAATTGAGTTAAGTATGTTCTTAAAAAAATGAGATTAATATTCATGTAATATTTAGTATATGTAATTTAGGATTTAACGACAGTCGGACCGGGTGATCCCACCCAAGCCCACAACCACAACAAGGAAAGGAGTTAAGGTATTAGCAATGTAGTTAATTTTTTTTACAAGCATGTTAGTTAATAAAGCATTGATTTATACAAATATACATGAATAGTTTTGATAATAGATAGAAATCTAAAATAGTTAAAAAAGAGTTTTGAAAATGATTTTAACAATATTATAAGCATAAGAATTTCTTTGTTTGTTTGTTTCACATGTAAGAGTTAACACAATTCTATTGTGTTTGGACTTGTATTCCCCCCCCCCTAAAAACATTGAAAAAGGTAAATTGTAGGGGTATGAACTCACCTTATGTGAGTGATTCGATTGAAGGTTCGGTATAGGAAGTTTTTCCACAAGTTAGATCTCGAGACAAAAACGAGTCCTAAAAGAATTTCACATAATATATATGTATACTATTAGTGAATATAATCACAAGTATGATAAGGTAATGGACTAATTTGTAAGTTTTCACTACAAATACAAGTAATTAGTGAGCAGAAAGCATTAAATTGATGAAGTGATGAATGTGAGTTTTGGCCACCCCTTGGGTTTTCGCCCCAATGAAGATCTTGGTGTTCTTGGTGAAACCAAGGAGATTCAAGGGTTTTCGGCTGAGGATCTTGATGAAATAAAGAACACTTGGTGTTCTAAGCAAGATCCGAAGGAGATACAAAGGATTTTCGATGATATTTGAGAGAGAATGAGGGGTTTTCGGTTGGTTTTTTTTTAGAGAGAAAGGTGTGTTTTCGGCTGGAAGTGTAGAAGTGAGGGAGTGTTTTCAGTTTGGTCTCCATATAGGGTCAAAGCTGATGGGACACATACAATTGTTCTCGCACCGAGTGGATAGGACCGAGGTTTGCGGCTGCGAACCGAGGATTTGCGGCCGAACAGGGTTTGCGGCCGAACATGGTTTGCGACTGCGAGGTGTTTACGGTCCGAAGGCTTCAAGCCTTGCGAGGGTTTTCGGATCTAAGCAATTTACATCCAATTTTGTAACACTTCTAATAAAAGGCTTTTAAACACATATAGATTATCAATCTAACCCTAATAAGTAAATCAAAACAATAAGTTTGACTTTGTTTGACCCAAGTTTGTCTTTGGTTGACTTTTATAATAACGAAAACAACGGGTTGTCACACAAGGCAAGTGTGCTAGATTTTGGTTGGAGTTGGGACACTTCTCCTACAACAATAGTTATCATGCCAGTATTGATCGACCTCCCTTCGAGATGTTTTACGGGAGGAAGTGTCAAACCCCGGTTGTTGGGGTGAGGTCGCGCATCGAGTTATGGGGAGAACTGAGGTAGTACTCAAGACTACTGAGTTGATACAACAGGTGCACAATTGGTTGCAGACCGCACATAGTCGTTAGAAGAGTTATGCTGATCAGCGGTGTTCGTACCACACGAGTAGGGTGTTATCCGATTCAGGAAGTGGGGAAAGTTGGGCCCTAGATTCATTGGTCCTTTCATGGTTATTGTCCGGGTGGGCAAACTTGCGTATTGATTGGATTTACCTGCTGAGCTTAGCCAGGTTCACAACACTTTCCATGTCTCTCGGCTGCGGAAGTGTGTATCCGATGAATCCGCAATAGTACCCTTGTATGACATTCAAATTAATGAGTGTCTGAATTATGTAGAGAGACCGACTGCGATACTCGACAGGAAGATGAATATCTTGCTCAACAAGGTGGTGAGCTTGGTAAAGGTGTAATGGTAGCACCGAAAGGGTTCCGAGTGGACTTGGGAACCCGAGGAGGAGATGAGCGAGCACTACCCCGAGTTGTTTGTGGCAGCAGACTTCGAGGACGAAGTCTGATTCAAATGGGGGAGAGTTGTAACATCCGGATCCTCAAGGTATGGAATTTAAAGTAAATCATGAGTTGTGTATTGGTCACGACATTATGAAGGTATCATCACGATGTGGCATGTCCATATGAGGAACGCATTTCATTTAGGTGTCATGACATGATACTCTATTGGTCACGACGTGACATCTGATCAGGGGCAAACCCTAACTTTTGGACTTGGGTCCTATTTAAAGGAAGTGAGGGTTAGGGTTTTCTCCACCCTCAGCCTCTATTACCTCCTAGCCCCCTTAAAGAAAACCTTAATCCATCTCCTCCATTTTTGAGCTCATCTTGTTGTTCTTGGTGACTTTTGAAGGAAGAAGAAGGCTTTTGTAGTGTAGAGAGAGCATCTTTGGCCAGCCTTGAGACTTCATTGAGCACTTCCTGGACTTTTTGTGGATTGTAGCACTTGTTCCGTGACTTGAGTTGTGGTTTGTCTGACTTCGTGAGGAAGGTGAGTCTTCTCACTATACTATGTATGATGCTAGTTGTCTTTATGACTCTTGCATTAAATACTGGGCGCGACCCGTTTGTTTGTTGGGCGGGGCCCGCTTGTATGATGGGAGAGGCCCGTTATAATGGGTGGGGCCTGATGTTATGTATGGTATGTAGTATTTTGGGGAACTTACTAAATTTTGTGCTTACGATTTTGTGGTTTAAATATTTTTCAAGTACTTTTAGTTCCAAAGGGAAATGGCAAAACTTGACTATACAGTTTCCCTTGATGGCTTTCCGAAGTGATTATTATCATTTTACTCTGATGTTTGAGAGATACATTTTACTATGATTGGTTTTGAACAAATGTTTGTATGGTTTTGATGGTTTGAAAATGAAATTTTTTATTAGTATTTTTGGGACATTACAAGGATTGCTCCTGCCCAATCTCTAGAGCATAGTTTGAGGCATTGTTGTCATTTGCAGTTTTGGCGTAGCCCGATGGGTCGTTATCAATGCACAAGTCGTACTAGGGTGCAAGCAAAGACAAGATGAAACAATCAAAACATGCTTAAGTAGATTCATTATAGCAACACTAAACCCACTAGAACGAGCATACAATATGATCATTGTAGACTTCATCCCAAACCATTATTCAGAAAATTGACATGGAAGCCATCTAGATCCAGGAAAGAGCTCATGGATTGAGTATACAATATCGGATTACATAGAGACTAACTGGTTTGACTTAAATCAGGAACTAGATAGGCATAACATGCATTCGTTTCGAGAACCTTCAATGTCCAACTGATACTTCAACCAAAATACCCAATATATAATTCAAATCCACTTGTGAACGTATTTCCATATGGATTTTATACATACATCGGGCACATTAAATATGTAAAAGAAGATAGAAATTATGGATTTCGGGGTATTGCTCTTTTTCTTGGCCATAATGAAAATTGTTAGCATTAGATTCGATCAGATTTATACGTCAAACTAATAACACACCCTGGAGAGTACGCAGTGACTTACAGCGAATATTTTAACACACTGAGTCACTCGTTGAATTCCGCTGGATCGGATTTTGCGACATCTGAATATTGGTTTATTATGTCGGTCGTCCGACACTGTTTTTCTCATTGTTAAAAGATATGATGTTATTTTTCATTATCTGAGCAAAGAATGGTTTACAACGTGGTTCCCACTTTAATATGGACCGCAAGACATCCCAAATCATACATCTATTATGATCACTCACGTTTACGGTAACTATTATGTGATTGTTGATTTACCGGACCTTGACTGAACCGGAATTACCTATAACCGGGTCAGTTCCCGGTACCAATGTTTTTCATATTTCAGTGTTCGGGTAGAACCCTGACCCGGAAAGTGTTGGCGCATTCTCTACATTTGTTCGCTTTTTTTGGTCGCTCCCTCCCCTTTTGTTCTTGATCGTCGGCAACAGGCAAGACCAAAAAGTTTTAATATTGTTATTTAGTATATTTCTATTTTGACAAAAAAAAAAAAAAAAAAAAAACACAACTGTTCATATATTCAGCACTTTCTCAGTATGTGGCCTATCAACTAAAAGTGTTAGGCAATCATCTATTTATACGTTTTGTTGTAGTGGGAAACAATTATGAAATTCATATGTTTCGAAATTTTGAGAAGTGTTGATATAATTTTACGAAAAAAAATCGCAACTCAAAGGTATTGCAACATAAGCAAATTCCAGAATTTGTAATCACTTTTATGATCTATATAAATAATTAATCAAATTGTATATTTTTGTAAGAAGTGGTCATTTTCAGTTCATATATCTTTATTATTTATTATGTAAATTTGGTCAAAGGCAATATACAACAGTTTTATGCGTTAAAAAATATTGGATCTCATACGGTCAACAAGTTATTTGAGTTACGCCATTTTGAATAAGTCTCCTGCTCTCATCTTCAAGTTGAATAGGTCAAAGACCAAGAAGCATTCATCACGTTCGGCTATTAGACCTAACCCCTTTAATTCCCCAATATTTCTCTTTTTCTGTTGTGATAATCAATTTTGAATTCCAGCTTCACCTCTCAAATATCGCCTCCTTCTCCTATATATCGTGCCTTGCGTCCCTTATGCTCCCCCCATTCTCCAGAAACCCTACACTCCACTGCCGCCACCACTCAATCTTACCGTCATGTCGACCCTTGGTAGGCTCTACTACCTCTGTTGGATGGTTCACTTCCCGACCACCCTTCTTATCTTGTTTCCGATCACATATGAACTTGCAAGAGGTATATCTCCTTCTCTTTCTGTTTTTTAATCACATACAAACGCACACTTCTATTATGTGTTTAACTTCAATTTCTTCTCACGATCATGTCAACCCCAGTTTGGGGTTTTTTTTTTCTTCTGAAGCACAGATGGTGGCCAAGGATTTGAAGGTTTAGTGGAAGAGGTAATCCCGTCCCCAATTTAAGGTATGACTGCTCCTTCTTCTTTCCCATTCTTTCATATGACTGCTCCTTCTTCTTTACCAAATCAAAGACATATCACAAACCAACCCAACACCAGCATCACATCGTCAAGAACAAATCCATGGCATAATCTCCTGATTTCATGATTTCAAAGTGCCTTACATATTCATAATGATTTCGATGACTACTATGAGGTAGTTTCGTATTAATACTCATAAAGTTTGCTGATTTTTGTTCTAGGTACCCTTTTCGGTAAAATGATTGTTAAATACCATCATTATCTTTTGGATGTTATTCCTTTTCACCAGGTATGTTTAATGGTTACCTATTTTTCATTTTCGGGATTTGAAGATCTACTGCTATTTGAGTTTCTTGGTCAGGTTTGGTTCTTTCTGTAATTTCTTTTAATATGTGGTGCTCTCTCAAGAATGTATCTTATTCTTTGGAGGATATAAGATAAACAGATCATGTTTTATTTGGATACCTCACCCTTTTCTGATGGTTTAAAGAACTTTTCAACTGCTAGGAATTTTTTAGTAATTTTTGTCAAAATGTAAGCTCTTATTTTCATTTTCATAGACCTGGTGTGTGTACTCTTTGTGTTTCCACTTTTGGGCTCTTCAGGTATGACTCTTCATGTTTGCAAACTTTGTGATCTACCATATATACCCTTGGATTGATGATCTTACTGTTTTTTAGGAGTAATTGCAGAACGATCTGAAATGGTTGATGTTCGACAGCCAAACTCTTTTGAGTGTTCTTTTTGTCCAACAAATTCCAACTGTTGATTCTGTTTCGATCTAAGGAAATGCAATATGATCTCTCCACTACATGGTCGATCATATTTATATTATGGCATTATTATCAAGCATCCAAATAAACTAATTGTTGAAAACCATGTCATTTATAGTAGATTTCTTTTAATCTGCGAGGAACTAAGAAGAAGAATTCAAACTGGAAGTATTTTTGAACTATTATCTCTTCTCCTTTAAGATTTTTATGTTTGGTTAATTTTTTGACTTTGGGTTTTTTTTTTGCAGTAGTAGAGGACGTATATATTGAAGAAGAATGACGTATGAGATCCATGTTTTGGATTTTCATTGTTTCTCTGTCACACCATCAACCATCAGATAACCCTTTTTTGGTACATATACGCAGATAGACCTCTCTCATCTTGTAAGTTTGAGACCTATATCCAAAAATTGGGCTTTGTTTCTTCTAGAAAAGCTATTTTCATTTTTGTTTTGATTTTTTTAATTTGTGAGAAATAGGAAAGGAAGGTTCATGTTATCTCGGTGCATGTAAGTGTAAGGTGTACCTTTCTTGCAGATTTGGCAGCCATTATGCCTTAACCATGTTTTTGGTCCCTAAGGTAAAACTCAGATCTTATTATTCCTTTTACTTTTCCGTTTCCTCTTTTTAAAACTCAAATATCGACTCTAAATACTTTATTTTGGTACACTGTATTATTGAAAAAAGATGTGTATCATTACATTTATTTATTTCTTGGAAAGCTATCTATCATCCATTATTAGATGGGAGATTAAAAGAAAGTGATAGATTTGTTGGAATCACTTGAAACAATATGATTCAATTCCTCTGGCTAAAAGGAGTTTAACTATTTGCTGTTAGGATTAAACTATTATATTTTTCATGTACAATAAAAACTATTTTTTTTGTTTGATCTGGTGTTAGTTTTTTCGTCGCTTTCTAGGGCTATGAGAATCAACAATTAGAGAAGACTGCATCTCCTTCTATACCATCACTTCCACTAAAAATGAACCATCTGGTTGTTTATTTTCTTATATTATGGTCTTTTTTCTTCTAGATTTTTTTAATGATTTTATGCTCAATGTGGATTTATGTGTGGTATTATCACATGTTTTGGTTTCATAGGTTCGAATCTAAGTTTAAGGCTTCAATTATCATTTTTTTTAAGGAATGCACTTTTTACAAGTCTTTGATTAAATTTTATAAAGACAGTAATGGATTTCTATCAAGTCTTTAAATTTGATCAAAAATCAAATGTTGTCCCCTACTTAGCCTCATGTCTGAATCTTTATGGAACTGAAAAAGAACGTCAATGTTAGTTTTTGGAAAGGACTTGACGTTAATACACTTGATTTTTCGTAAAATATTGCATTTTTCTTTTCTTAGGTTAAATACAAAGAGATAAACTTTCATTGATTCGTTTTTATAGTATCATAATTTTATTTTTTTGAATTATAGAATTGCAATTCATTATAGAAATGCCATTCAACCTTTATCTTCTTTCAAATCTAGACTAACATGAAATTTTGGTCTTCTTTTAGTTTGATGACGACTTAACTAAAGTTCATTCTCTTTTAAAAGCTTTGGTTTATTTTTTTTTTCCTATAGAAGTCCTTTTTATTATCTTTCAAATAAGAAATATGGATTGTTCATGGTATGTACTAATGTATTTGTGATGTATGATTTTGCATGATTCTTAAATTGTAGGAAAATGCACCTTATGGATGATTCTGACATAGAAAACCTAATGAAGCATTTTATGGATGATTCTGACATAGAAAACCTAATGGAGCATTTCATGATTCTTAAATTGTAACCGTTTCATTTACATTATTTTTGTCATTCAGATAAATTTTAGTCAAATGTTTCACAAGAGTTTAAGTATTATCAATTTTTGTAATGTTTTTATCATTCTCATGTATAATAAATAAAGCATGGATGCTTTGATTTTAGCATGCAATCATTATCGTTTTTGCTCTTAATACCTTTGATCAGCTTGACGTGATTTGATTTTTTTTTTTTTTTTGAGAAAGATGCTTCATGTATGGTGTTTCTTGGGTGTATTATATGATATTGGATTTTTGTCCTTAAACAAAAAGTTGTAGAACACTTGATTCTTTATTTGCATATAAGATAAATGGAGGTGGTGGTGAGTCATTTCAAAGACCAAGGTTAAAGGTTGGATCCTGGTTAATGTTAATAGCTATATTGCATATGTGAAATAAAGGAGTAAAAATTATTTATCATTAGATGTCATGGAAAAGGCGATTGAGATAGTGTAAGAAATTGGTGTAAAATTGATGTCATTGTGTAAAAGGGTAGTTTTGGAAATATGACAATATTATTATGAAATTTTTGTCATTTGCATCCCAATAATAAGCTACCATACATTAAGGGGGTGTTTGGATTAGCTTATTAGCTTATTGCTTATTAGTTTATTTGTGGTGGGAATAAACAATAAGCAAGGGGGAGATGCTTATTAAAATTAGCTTATTTAGCTTATTCCTAACACAATATGCTGATTTTTAAGAATTTTATCTAAACACTTAAAATTAGCTGATTGTGGTGGGAATAAGCAATAAGCAACAAGCACCCTTTTTTTTTCCTATCCAAACACCCCCTAAGTATGGACACAAAATTTATTTTTGAAGTTAACAAGGACAACACAACATAACAAAATGTATTATGATCAATAACAAAAGTTATAAAAAAGATTATCCAAATCGTAAAAATCACATTCCCGTCATGATAAATGCTTGTGTGGGCATGGTTTATCAGATACTATACTGTTATAATTATAATTATGGTGATTAGATTAAAATTTTAAATACTATTAAAATTTTAAAAACTCTAATGAAATGCAAGAGACAAAATTAAGAAAAGAGAATTAAGTTTGTGTTTGGCTGTAGGGTTTGCTTGTAGGAACGAGGTATACATCAAAATACTATCATTGAAAATACCTTTGGGCTATCAAGATTTTTGTAGTGGTTTCACGAATTAACTATTTTTGTATTTTTAATTCAACAAGTTAATGATTTATTGAATTTTCATGGTAATAACGACACACGACTATCATTAGAATAGTAACTACTCATTCAATTACCTACAACCACATAGAATCTATAATCCGAATCCACTGGAAAATGTTCGCTTAAAAACTTCAACAATTACAATCAAATCTGCATCTGTAATAAGTCATGTTACAAAAAAAATAGTGTCGCAAAGATACAAACTAGACCGATAACGTTATGTATCTTCATTGTATTCTTTGAAATATCATGTTTCCGAATCGAACTTACTGCCAAAAGAATCTATTTTGTTGTCGCTTACAAGAAACAAAATATAGTAACACTCTGGTCCAATCTATTTATCTCACTAAAATTACTTTTGGAAACAAACCAATAATAGCATTGCACTTTCAGTTAGTTTTACAAACTGGCAAATTATAGCATTATTTCAATTATTTGAAAAACTAACGAATTGTAGCATTCCACTCTCATATAAAAATTAATCGGTTATAGTATTGTACTTCCAATTTTCTTCAAAAACTAATCGTCTCTAGAAACTAATTTGCGAAAGAAATTTTTTGCACCCGTCGCTTGGCGCGGGTAAACGGCTAGTCTTTTCTTAAGCCAATTTGGTCAGAAGTGGTCTTAAGCTTTTTTAATTCGTGTATTATTCTTAATTTCTTTAAGTAGATTTCATCATTATAATTGTTCTTATTTCTTTAATTACAGCTATAAAAATTTAAAAAAACAAAAAAAACTAAAAAAAAAAAAAAAAAAAACTAAAAAAAAAGAAACGAACAAACTAAAAAAAATGCCAATTGCAAACGCGCTTGAGCCTCTTCAAAGTCATTCGATACCTTGAATCCAATCCCAATGTGCCATCTGCCTTTTCTTTCTTAAATTCATATGTTCCCTCAAGTTTTATGGATAAGCTAGAACACCACTTAACATGATCATTTATTCCATTTGTCCCAAAAAAAACAGACTCCTAAGGTCTAACTAATAATGGGCCGGAGAAAAATGAAATGGACCAGAAATGTGATTGGATAAATCCGGTGTTAGACCCAAAAACTGGTGTCGGAACTAGAATGGGTCCGGAACCAATATCTCTAATCCGCTTCAGTTTTCGATTTACATTTTCAAGCTATCTGTTGCTCATCCCTAATTTATATTATTGTAATCTATAATAATTTTCTAATAATAATAATGAATAACTCAAATAATTCAAATAATATTATAAATAATAAAAAACAACAGACAAAATAAACTAAAGTTAAAAAAAAATAGAAAAAAAAAACAAAAAATTAAATTAGTAACCAAAGAGGTACATCTAAAATAACCCATTAAGAACTACGACAATTTACATCATGTAACTCTTCAAACCCAAAACAAAACAAGGTTCTAAGAGTATTCGATCTTTATATATTTTCACACCACAAGAAGCATTCCGAGCAAACCACCAAAACTTCCATTTTAAATTCTTCATTTAAATGAGATTCTACAATCTGGATATAATTCTTACTCTTTATTATAATGATAATATTACCCACGTGTAAAAATCACGTCTTAAATATAAAGAGCTATCACAGGAATTCTGACATTTAGAAAAAAGCATAACATGTAATATCATGAATAAGTCAAATATGTTGCACCATTGTCGCCGAGAATGCTTATTAAAAAATTCATGTCTTTGTTTATGTGTTGATTAGTAACAGGTCAAAAGTTAAAAACAGGTAAAAACCAGTTGCAGCATAGAATACATGAACCCAAGAGATGAATAAAACAATAATTAAATGTCACAATCAGACTAAAAGATATCTTTAAATACATCCTTCCTCCTTGTATTCATCTCTCACATTTTGACCTCAAATCACAAAGTCAAAACTAGCATTTTACACTCTTCTTCAGGTACATTAACAAGCATAAACAAATGGACTTTATATCCAGTATAAAAACAGGGACAAACTATTATGCACAGTGTCCAACTGCCTAATGCACTCTCTCTCTCTCTCTCTCTCTCTCTCCTCTCTCTCTCTCTCTCTCTCTCTCTCTCTCTCTCTCTCTCTCAACTTCAAACAACAAAACTTTATGTCATGAATTAGACCACTACCTCATCATCCAAGTTCACCACTTCCTTAACATCCGCTAAAACTGCTGACTCATCATCATGATCATGGATGTTTTCTTCCTCTTCTTCTTGTTGTACTGCTATAACTTGAAGAAACTCATCAGGAACAGCTGCAGGATCCAGCTCACAACAACCCTTTGGAGCATTCAAAGATTCTTGACCAGTTAGAAAGTAAGATGGGATTTGATGCGAAAACCGCGTTATTTCACTTTCCGGAATTACCCTTCTGTCCTTGACATTTATCTGCCTATGAAACACAGTTTTAAAGCCTGCAACTTTCACAAGTTGGGTAACCTTAAACCCTTCTTCTTCTTCATCACACTCATCAACTTGAACAATTTCATACTTATGTTTGAATTCATTCCGGGTTTCCTGATTCCATTCTCTGTATAAAGCCCAAACCTCTCCTTTCCTTGGATAAACTTCAAAACTCCCATTTTCCATTTTCTTAAAATTAACTTTATGTGAAAAATAATTAGGAAAACAGAGACTCTGGTGTTTGCCTATTCTAAACTCCCCAAATGCTTTCTTCAAAGGAAAAACATCCATAATTTCGTTATTATTTGTTGTTGAATTAAGAAGCCAACATACCTTTATTTTGAACGGATCGATTGATTTCACCTTGTGGATAAAAGCGTAATTTCTTGGCATCCCATCATCATCATCATACACTGCCCATATTTCACCTTCCCGAAAACGCCCTTCGCTTCTTTCCCGATCAAAGTTGTGAAAATCCGGATCCTGGACATCAATCAGGAGTGGTGTCATTGTCATTGTGTTCTTTCTTGACAGCGAGTCTTGTTTTTGTTCTTCTTCTTGTTTCCGGTCAACCTTATAGTTGACCAAAGTTTCTGACTTCCATTGACTCAATCTTTTCTTGATTTCGGTTCTTGCCTTATGAACAAGTAGAGAATTGACATCATTACTCAAAACACCTTTCTTCAAATCAACCACTGTATGATGCCCAGATGATGAAAGATTACCTGATCTTTTCTTTTTTCTTTTTAAAGCTTCCTCTCGTTTAATGGCAGCCTGAGCTTCTTCTCTTTCCCTTTTTACCCTTTCATAAGCACGTTGAACCAAGGTTGCAGCTTGAACTGAAGAAGCGGGAGTGGTTGTTGTTGTTGTTGTTTTGGAAAACGGGCCCCACTGGTGGGTTGTGTAATCACTAACATTTTCCCCTTTCTTATGCCTTGCTTGATTCTTGGTTGATATTTTGGAGCTTTTAAAACCTTTTGTAGAAACTTTTGTATTTGGGGCAGGAGTCTCAATTGCTAAAAAGGGTTCATGGCAATTTGGGCATAGGAGATTTTGATGAAGATACATTCTTAAATACTCGTATTGCATCTTGCATGCATGACATACAGTCCAAAATGTCTTTAAATTTGTTTGTGAAGTGGTTGCATTTGGAGTTTTATTTGTAGTTGTAGTTGTACTCTTTGTGAAATTGTAGAAACCATTTTGGTTAGTGTTTGTGTTTCTCTTTTGGTCATAAGCTTTTCTTCTTGCTTTATCAGACAACAGACTCCATGCTTCTGAGATATACTTAAATGCCCCATCTGCCCCTATGGATTTGTTCTTGTCCGGATGAAGAGACAAAGCTAAATTACGGTAATGCCCTCTCACGGTTTTATCATCAGCTACTGGGCTTACACCAAGAATCCCATAAAAATCAGATTCACCGTTTATTTTATTTTCTGCAGCAAGATAAATATCTAGAGTTGCTATCATTTGAGTAATACCCTCAAGTTCAGGAAACAAAGTTTGGGCCTTTAAAGCAAACTTTTTTGCCCCTGGAATGTCCTTTGTTAAAAATTTCCTCTCTGCTATTCCTTTTGCCCTTAAAGCTTCATCTCTATTGCACTCCATTTGTTAGTGTTTTTGCCAATTCAATTACTTGAAAAAATAACAATTACTGCTTCTCCATTTGACTTTCAAAGCAATATGATTTGACCTGATTCAAGATAATGACATGCATACATTAGGTTGGATCAAGATTTTCAGAATCTAAATTCTAGATTTTATGCCAAAACAAACAGACTGAGTGGATGTGGATGAGGATCATAATATCTATAGCAAGAAACAATTACCATGTAAAATATTTCTTAATGGATTCCCTAATTTTACAACCAACTTTGTTGCATCATCTACACTTAAAAGTGATATAGACAAAAGCTTAAGTTGAAAACAATGGCTTCCATAATGACTTTGAAGGAAGGAAACTAGAAGCTAATAAACACTAGAAAAGACTACTAATATTCTTTAACTTCTAGATCAACTAATGCAAGTAATGGAGACAAGAATGTAGAATCAAGGATCCCAATCTGTTTGCCACTTGTAATAACTGTATTGACTACTCTGTACACATTAATTGTATTGTAATTATAATGAAACAAGAATAGACAAAGAACATTGTAATGAAAAAGAAGCCAATTTCCCCATTTTATTTCATTTTTCTACAGTTAGACTAATGGCAAAAGTTTCATAAATCATAACGTGATACAATTAACGTTTCAAATATATATATATATATATATATATATATATATATATATATAGAGAGAGAGAGAGAGAGAGAGAGAGAGAGAGATTCTAAAAATTAATTCAAGTTGCATTAGAAGATTCAATGCCTAGAGAGTTCAAAGGAGAACTTCATAGAAAAACAGGAAAACCATAGATTACAAAAGCTATTAGTGTTGGGCAACTTCAATTCCATGGCTCAGAATTGGATTACAGGACAAACATGTTTGAAGTTGGTGTTTAACTCCAAATCGGATTTTAAACCTTAAATTCAATGCACTGGAAAATGTCTTACATCCCTCAACATATTAGTTATTTATATGATTACAGAATACTACACACCATTAATTCGATATATAAACAAAGCGCGTTGCATTTAAAAGATCACCCTAAATCTTAGATGAGACTAGGGTTACAAAGTGGTAAAAGACATTCATAAATCGCTTTAATTCAGCAAATCATAGATGAAACTAGGGTTCAATCGTCGATCTGTGTAGAATTTCAACATCCAAATAAGCTCATAAATCACCCATCACAGCCTTATACGAATCGAGGAGTTTAGCAAAATAAAAAAAACCTAATCAAGCAATTGAATTAAAATAGCAAAACAATCCACGCACGTATAGCAAAAAACAGTATGAAGAACTAACCAGAAAGAAGAACTGATAGCAAAAAGCGTAAAACTCGGTTGATTTTGATTTACCAGCAGGGCACAATCTACGAGCCTCCGATGAAATAATTTGTGGTTTTAGCCCTTGTTTTCTCACTCGACGCTACAAAATCCCCAAAATAATAATACTTCTACCCTTATTGAGTTTTGACGGTGACTACAATTTTCATATTAACCCTAACCCAACTTCAACTTTAAATAACCACCAACCTAACCATGGTTAATTTTAAACCAAAGGACAAATTAGTCTAATCATATTTATCATTTTTTTTAAAACTAAAAATAGTTTGATCATCAAAACAACTATTATTTCCGTTGATGGAATCTACGAAATCATCAAAATCACGTCATTTTAGTGAGATTTGCAGATCGCAAATTTCGTAAAAAATGTACGAAATCATTAAAATGATGTCGTTTTTTCTTCATTTTACAAAAAAAAAAAAAAATAGAAAATCAAAAATCTTTAAAAAAAAAAAACAATCACAAAGACATAGCTCTTAATGTTACTCCTAAGCATCGATTTCGTTTCAAATATCATATTTTATGCTATTGAAAGTTTATTTTAAGGTTATTGATTCATTGTAGATTTTTAATGTACTTTTAAAGATACATGTTATTGTTGATTTTCTGAATATTTACGTACGTATATGTAGCGAATATTTATTTCTAAAGGAAAATTTAACTAGGAAAATTTGTTGGGGGTTATTAACATCAAACTAGGAAAATTTGTTGGGGGTTATTAACATCAAGTACACTATCCAAAGGTAGCGGAATTATCAAAAGATATACCTAAGTGCACACACATCCTAGAATCTATGTTTTATTAGTTATAGCAACATACTTTCAAAAACAACAAAAGTTAAGAATTACCAACCTCAAGTTCATTTGCTTGTGATATCGTACATGCCAGCTTGTTGCAAAGATGAAGGATCCAAAAGAGCACCCCTCCAATGGAATCAAACCCACAACACCAAAAGCAAAATGATTAAACCCAAGTTAGGGTTTATTCGAAAATCACCAAACCCAGGAGAGAGGTTATGATTTCATCCAGAGAGAGAGAGAGAGAGAGAGAGAGAGAGGCAGAGGTTGGACGATTTTGTTAAAAGGGATAACTAGCTCAAGGGTTTACCCTAGCAGTCTATTTATAGTTAGGCAAAGAGTATTCCAGAATGATACAAACTCTAGGGTTTATCTTTATCTGAATTAAACATGCCACTGTTGGAGAAAGACAATGAAAACATGAAGACAAAAAATGGAAACAAAAAATATTTCTTGGTAATTACACAATCAACAACCTTGTATGTTCCATAGACACACACACACACACACACACACACACATATATATATATATATATATATATATATATATATATATATATGATGTATAAAATAGCAATCAATGCAACCCTTGGAGGAACCGTTGCATCCCTTTAAGAATTGACACCCCCTTTAAATCTTCAAGGCACCAATTCAAGGCAACCTTTCAACACATTGGTCCATAGAACATTAACTGCCACATAATAACTATATTTAATAGTTATTGATCATTTTACCCTTGTCTAGCTTATATCTTTCAACATTCCCCCTTAAGCTAGACAAGGAAAATACCATGATTTTTCTTCAACTGCTTGAAATCATGAACAGTTAAGTTCTTCATACATATTTCTGTCACTTGTTTTGCATAAACAATTTCAAAGATCTTTTAAACATCACAACCTCTTAGGTTTAATCTGAAACTTCATGAACTTTTTTTGTAACAAAGAAGATGATAGCATGGACTGTTCTTCGCTAAAAACAACCTTTTCATTAATTTCACACATAAAACAAACAACCATTATCCTTACCAAGATCTTTTCGCTTGGTTGCATACTTCACACACATAAAATCAATGTCCACAAGATCTTTTCATTTGGTTTCATACATCACACCACACACAAAACAACAATCTTACCAAGATCTGTTCACTTGGTTACTAGGCTTCACATCACACCTGTAACACATTCAGGTATCATTTAATTTTCTTAAGTTTTAGGGTTTTATGCTAGGACTCAACGAGTTGGGGAGCTCCAAATCGTCGAGTAGAGATCATTTATGAGGACGCGGGATTCAGATCCTACTCGACGAGTCGGAAGGCCCCGACTCGACGAGTAGGTGCTGTAAAGGACAACCCTAATTTTTAGGGTTTGCACCCTATATAAAGAACTTAATCTGCCTCTTGTGGCCTCCCTTACCACTTCATTACCCAGAGAAGAAACCCTATCTGTTCTTTGTTGCTTCCTTATGCTTGTGAGACTAAAAGGGTGCTTTTGGTGTATTTTGTTGAAGGAGTTTGAAGGTTGAGAAGCTTGGAACGGGAAGGAGATTGTAGATCAAGCATCTACAATGCTTGGGCATCCATTTGAAGGTAACAAGCTGTTACCTTGGTCATCCTAGCATTAGATCCCCTTTTTCGTAGGTTTAAGCTCATTTTTAGTACATTTGTAGAGCATTTCGGGTATTAGGCATGATCTGAAGTTGTAACTTCAGATCTGGACTCCTCTAAGTCCTTAGAGTTATAAAGTCACTGAATTTATCAAGCATTGGCCCTTCTCTTTGGCTAAAACCTCTCCCTTAGCTTGGTTTTGGCATTTAAGAGCTTGCATGCACGTAAAGTTTGCAACTTTACGTGGAAACCATGCCTTAGGAGGCTAGATCTGCAATCTGGAGCTTTGGGGTAGCTTAAAAACGTCTGAACACAAAAAGGACTGAAGGAACTCGTCGAGTCCCTTAGCCAACTCGACGAGTCGGGTAGGGTTTACCCGTTTTCGGGAATACGAGTGAATCCGGTGAGGGATTAGCGTTTTCGGTCGGCATGAGTTATTGGTCTTCTGGACATTGAAGGAACTCGACGAGTTACTCAAGTGACTCGGTGAGTTGGCATGAGATTTCGGTTGTATGGACTCGGAAGGAACTCGACGAGTTGTTGGATGCACTCGACGAGTTGAGGTCAACATGGACTGTTGACCTTGACTTTGACCAGGGATGACTTTGAGGGTATTTATGATATTTCGGGATTGTGACAAGTTAATCACATGATAATTATAGGCAGTTGAGTTGGAGTTGTGCGTGGGATTTATCTGATCTTATCTTGTCAGTTCAGCATTCACGAGAGGTGAGTCTCCTCACCATACCAATGGGTCGAAGGCACCAAGGCCGGCCCATTTTACGATATGTGGTACACTAGCTGGAGTTATATTATGAGGCATGATAGTTGGTTATGTGCTAGGAGGTATGCTAGTTGTATATGTGGTATGCTTGTATGGAAGACCATGGGAGAGACCATGACACCTAGATGTAAGACCATGTGGAGAGCCCATGGCTTTCCTACTAAAGACCATGGGAGAACCCATGGCAACCGAATGTAAGACCATGTGGATGGTAGGTTTTGAGCAAAAGAACATCCTATGTGCACATGCAAAACCCTAAAGCTTTGGATCTAAGTTTCTCTATTGTACATGCAAATTAATCCAAAGCTTGTAAACCCTAATATAGCATACTATGAAAAAGAAATCTGAAATAAAACAAGTTTAGATGATACCTTTCGATAGTTGCAAGAATCTTCAATCTTCAAGAGCTTAGTATCACAAGTGTAATACCTCTAATGGCTTACAAACACCAAAGCAAGAAGATGATTTAGA